TCTCTCTCTCTCTCTCTCTCTCTCTCTCTCTCTCTCTCTCTCTCTCTCTCTCTACATAAGATTCTTAGCCTTGAATTCTATGTGTTGTCTCAAACCTAAAGAACATATTTTGCATTTAATTAATGAGTTTATAAATACTATATTAAGTCTACATATAATAAAAAGTATTTCAAAAAAGTTTGTAATCAAATGAAATATTCTGTGAAAGTGATCAATAAATAGTTTATTTAAGAAGTCGTTTGCATTACGTTTGAACATAAGTTATATAGATATAATAACTAATCAATAATTATAAAATCAAGAATAAATTATCACACACATATTCAATATTTGATATAATGATAAAGTGAGTGTACATTTGGTGCACTTTTCATAAAACATGACAGCACTGCGCTTTTAAGTTAGTGTCTGACTGCAAGAATATGCGTAATAATATTGAACATGTAGCACCTAGATTATGAGTTAGTTCAATTTCATACACTTCGATTTAATGCCATACCTGTTTATTTTATTTTAGGGACAAGTGTACTAAAATCTAAAAAACAACAATTGTATAATTTGATTTAATTTAATTTATTCCACATGATCAAGGTGTTTATTTTGAAATCTTGATACTTTAACTTTTAAATTTATACATAGCAACTAAATATCCAAACTAAAGTTATTTCTTATTTTTACTATTTTTATAATATTTTATTCAATTTATTTATTTATGTGATATAATTAAACAAAACATTCGTGTATTAAATTTATAACGAGTATTTAAATTAAATACTTAATTTTAAAAATAGATTATTAAATTGCAATGATACTCGTTACATGAATATTAATTTTACTCAATGACATTAATACAGTATAATATGAATATTTGATAAATATAATAAATGATGTTAATTTTTAGTAACTATAACAATTAAATAATTGTTAAGCATCATTTTACGTAATACAAACTTATATTTGTTTAAAAGCATTCAAAAGTTTAATGTTATTATGCTTTGCACATAAAATAGTTATCAGTTTTTCTACACCTTAATTAATTACCACAGAATTATACAGAATATGAAGTAAATAGCAATAAATATTAGCAGGAATTATAATAATTATTATACTGTTTACTGTGTATTATGTGTCAATAACCCAGACCTTGTCTTGATTTTCAAAATAAGATATTTATTTAATTAATTAATTGCTTAACAAAGTATTTGAATACAGTGTATAGAATATAAAACTAAATTTTTAAGCTAAAAGTTATTAAATAAGAGGCTACTTTTAACATCATATGATACTTTTGGACACTATCACAGAATTTAATCATTATTTTAAAAAACTTTTACAAAATGTATACAAATTTGTCGCTTTTCGTATTTATTACAAAGTTTTCTGACCACAAAAACCAGACTCGATTTTGAATTACTTATATTAGAGTTAGGGTAATAAACATGATAAAGATTAAAATAAATAATTTGATCTTGGTGATTTGTGTGTATATTTTAACCAATCCTTATATTTTGTAACAGATATGTTAACTTGATTTTAATTCTACTTTAACATTGAAATACAATTGAATGAAGCTTGGGCCATTTATTACCGGTTCGTAAATTACCGGTACATTTAATACTTGAGTTATTTTTCAAGAAAATATTATCATTATGAGTGTTAATGAAACACTTATTTCATATTAATGTTTTTATTTAATTTTGAAAACTATAAATCTAGATCTAAATGACTATTTAATAAACTTAAATAAAATAAAACTTAATACTGTATATTTATGTCATGACATTAAAACATGATTTAAAACAAATATATCATCATTAATGTTTTAATAAATTTAAAAATAATTTATTTATTCAATAATTTACTTATTAAGTACTTCATCAGTACAGTACAGTATAATGTAACGCTTTTTTGCATCAAAATATAACTCAATTTATAAATTCGAGACAAACTCGATACTAATGTTGAATATTAATGATTATTTTATAGACATTAGAAAAAGCCTTTTCACAAAAAAAAGTTTTAAAACTATTTGAATCAACTCTTAAATATTCATAAAAAATGCACTTTTATTGAGATTTATGATATATTACATAAAAAACTCTACAGACATCTAAATGAAAGGGTTTTCAAAACTTTAAAAATATCAAGGCTATTTTGATGGGTATATAAATAGTGGGCTAATTTAAGATCCATGTCCATTAATTTTAGTTTGATCTCCAGTTCCTTTTGGTGTGAATCTCGACAAACAATTACCTTCAAAATGAA